AAGAAAGATTTAAGAAATTTAAGTATATGTAATTCAGAGAAAACGTATGGCGGAGTAACTCAAGTAGAATTATATGACCTTTACTGTCGCGATGCACGTCGCAGTAGCGACTTCTTCCTCATAACCCTGGCGTCATAAAGTTATAATTATGAAAGGTTACGTTCAGAGGTTTGTAAAAAGTACGCGTGCATAGTTGAATGGAAGCTGAACAAATTCAAGCCTGGGTTAGGTTTACTTGTCAGCCAAATTTTTGCCAATAACCTTGCGGAACAAAAGTTCTTGCTCATGCATTTGACAGACATTGTTAAAATAATGTTATTGAAAGCCATCGTTGAAGAAACTATAATCATTTGATGGTCCATTAGTCTTGTACCGCTCAGTCGCTGGCAGTTACGCAGCGCTGTTGGCAAACAAAGCTTTTTGCTGCCCGTGCGAGAGCAACAAGTGGGACAGAAGAACAACCAACCACAGCGGTCAAATATTTGTAAGCAAATAAATGAGAAAATAATATGCGTTTAAAAATTATTTTTTAAAGACAACACTTCTGAAAAATCCAGTGTCTTGGATGTTACAGATGTACAACGAATTTCTAATATTATTTTCAAATATTGAAAAAAAATTATTTGTCAATTTTTTTTAAGATATCAAAATTTTGCAAATTTTCAAAATTATTTATTCTGTCAATTGATTCATGCATTGTCTCTGACTTTATGCAATTGTGCAAAATTTCAGATCAATTGGACAGGTCAAATTGTGTCATATATGTATTATAATATTTGTAGCGAACGAAATTATTTTCTTAATATTTTTTAATAATGAAAAAAATTTTGTTTTAATTTATAAAATTATTGATTCTGTCAATTGATTCATGCATTGTCACCAACTTTACGCAAGTGTGCCAAATTTCAGATCGATTGGACAGGTAGAAGTGTGTTAAATATCGATTATAAGATTTGTAGCAGACAGACAGACAAACAAAGAAGAAGTGAAGTTAAAGAGAAGTGTTGTAATAAACAAATAAAGTAATTTATAAAATAAATACAAGAATATTATGTAATCAAATGAATCAAATCGCTTTTTTGGTGGGGTTTCTTATTACCACTAAGACTTACGAATAAAAAGCATATGAACAACGTGAGGATAAAGAACGTTTGAACAACGTACGAATGAAGCTTTTTAGTAGCTTAATAATTAAGATCCCTAACCAAATATATGTTGGATGTCACAAGATCTAATTTATTTAATTTAGTGGCCTTGCCATGTTATTTTCTGCACAAAATGTACAGATGCCACCAAAGTCGCGTTAACAGAAGAATATCGGTAAAGTGTTGCATGACTTCTGAATTAACGGTGAACAAACTTCCACAATTTACGAAAAATAGCAGTCTTCGTTAGGGGGCGCGCTAGTACACTCATAGCGATGAATGGGTCATATTGTGCAAACAGTGACACACTTACTGCATAGAGCACTGCTACGTTCATTTGCCTGGCCAAACTGAGTCATGATGACTCGGGAAAGAATTTTAATAGAGAGTGTCCAAAGACGCGCAACAAGGATAGTTCCAGGCTTGAAAGGCAAGTCATATGAGGAAAGATTAAAGATTATGAAGCTTCCAAGCCTCAGTTATCGACGTCTGCGTGGGGACCTCATTGAAGCATACAAGTATACTAATGCCTTATACAAGGTCCCAGAAGGATTACTAGAACTTGAAACAAGAACCAACACCAGGGGCCACGGCTATAAACTAAAAAAACTGCGTTGTAACACATCCATGCGACAACATTTCTTCTCGCTTCGAGTCACCGGCATATGAATAGCCTCCCTGATAGCATCGTTGACGCTCCGAGTATGAACGCCCTCAAGAACAGACTAGAGTCACTAGACGAAGCTATGAAGGAGCAAATGTTCAGTCTTAAAATGCCTAGCAAATTACGGACCAGGCAATAAGTCCAGCAGCTATCTCAATCAATCGTCAGTTATGGAAAGATCGGGTTCCAAAGGTCGGATCCCTTGTGAATCAAGTCACGAAAAATTCAAGAATCGGCAACACGCCATGGGCCTATTTTCTTCAAAGCCGACAATTCTATTTTATTCTATTCTATGATAACCATACAAGGACAAAAGTGCAGCGCCATTTGGACAATGTCCTGCTCATTGCTCTGAGTGTATGTTGACGCCAGCGCTCTGTCTTCAGCACAATGGGGGCACCGCCCCCTCATCCGCTGGATGAACAAACCGCCATTGATCAGGACTTATAATCCTTCAGATTTCATTACATTTTATATCTGACTTTGTAACATGTGAATATTTTTCTCGACAATTTATCGCGGTCTGGAAAACCTTTAGTTTTTCCTACTGACACAAAATTTTCTAACTCCCATTTGAACTTCGCGAACCAACTTGAAGCACATATAAATTGTTATTTTCAAATTAATTTTTGTTCTATAATAAAACAAACGATCATCTTTTAGGTTTCAATCAAACCACCTCTTCGTGATGTCTTCCTAAATGTCCTGAAAATAAAAGTTCAACTCAAGTTTCAGGTCCCGGTAATATCCCGACACGGTTGGTATTGCGGTACACGCTGGGGTACCCCGTATATATAATATACCAGTACCTGGCTTATCAATTAATATTGCGGTACACGCTGGGGTACCCNTCATTAGTTCGACTCCATTCTTCGTATGCTTTTTCAAGCCTCGTGTGACCAATACAACGAAGCTATTATTATACATTAAGAGAGGATTTAATTATAACAGATCAAGACGTGTCTCGATGATTGCAGTAAAGAGATTAAATATCTTGGGGGACTCAAGTATTTGCAAGCTTCCCTTGCACTACGAGGTATTTACTTGTAGATGATACTTGAAGTTTTTAATTGTGCTTAATGTTAGTGGTGCGCGTGCTCTAAACATTGTGCTCGTCTCTCAGGAAATATTGCATGGTGAGGCTAATAAATGTGAAGTCATATTGGTGGCTGGGAAGCAATGAAATTTTCCTCTAAGTACGTAAGGTGGAACGGATGTACTCATATATTTTTAAAGTTATAAGGAAACGTTCCCATCAATTGTGAAACCAATGGTTTGGCTTACGAATTGAATGATTTTTGGTGTTCATTGCAGCATTAGGAAAATAAGTTCTCTTGGAATCATTAGTTAAAAAAAACTAACAGCACTCAATGTTGTACGCGTCAGGCGCTGCAGGTCGGGCGCAGTTATGCGTTGCTGTTGAACAGCGCAGCCTCGCGTGATCTGTGATACCGACATAGCTTGAGGCGGCGGGTGGTGGGGGTGTGTTGGGTCTGTCTTTCGTGGTGATGGTGGTTTTGTTGTTGATGGTGGTTGGTATTCATTCTTTTTATTCTGGAACTGGACATTTAATCTGACTAGTGACGAATGACGTCACAATAAGAAGCAAGATTGAGTGTGGCTCCACAATTTTATGTGATATCTCGAAGTCTTTAATGAATCATCCTGCAACTGTTCTAAAGCCTGCTCTTTGGTAGATCCAAGGAGCCCGACGCACCACGACAATATGAAGTAAGTGTGTAAGTAAGTATGTAAGTAAGTAAGTAAGTGAAGTGCTTTCAACTTTCTCTGAAAATTGAAAGCTTCATTGCACCCCTGCAACTTCGAGTCTTGTATCTGTTCATTAAGTGTGGTATCTGATAGGACTATCTGTACATGCTGGCAGGTAACCATGTAACATCCATGTTAGGATTCTCTGACTTGGGAGTTTATAGTGACATCCTCATCATCAAAGCTCGTGAAAGCCTTTGCAAGCTGAGTCTTTTACTCCCATGGTGTGCTACTAGCCTACTACTCCCTTCCTAAGTTCAATTTCACCTCAAGCGGATCTTATTTCCAGTATTCATCTCAACCTTCAAGATAATTCATGAAAAATTTGCGACATTAATCTATTCAGAATTTATTTATAGAATTTTGGCTGCAGCACCACTCAAAATATTTCTAGATTTGCACAGATGGCTTAAAGTCTGCAGATGAGACAGTTTCTACCGGACTCTTAGGCTTGATTCACACCAAACTGCTAGGCACGTGCCAGGTACATTTGCTGAAATCCGGTTTGTTGAGCTGGTAATTTGGTATACCAGGCAAATAAAAAAGTTGGCAACGCTGCAGTCACGTCCCGGTCAAAATATCTTTTGCTATGATCGCGGCTGGACCGTGCCTTGCATGGCAGGTGTCATGCACGACCGGTGTGAATGCTCCTATAGAAATGCATTTGAGATTATTGAACTGGGGCCGGATTATCAAAATTTCGTAACTTATTGTACTTACGACAAAAAGTTCTGTGGTACGTAAATACACCCTAATTTTGGCATTATCAAAACTTTCGTACGTAAGTCTTAGCTAAAAGCCTAAAGCTAAACAAGTCATATCAGCAAATTTTTCCCGCGCAAATGTTTTTATAATACCACCGCTAGTATTACGTTGTCATAGCAACGCCACTCGTAAGTCGATTTTGCGTTCTTACGAAGTTTTGATAATACGGCCCCTGGACCGTGAGTGGCTCTTGGCCGGAAGTATATGCGGTGTGAACCAAGACTAAGTACAACAGTCGGTAACAGGCTTGTTGCTTCGACGGAAACACACTGTTCTAGGGGCTGAATAATTTGCCATACACAAGGTTATGCAGCTGGCCACTGATCTGAAAGACAAGCATGTTTCAAATGTAAAGGGAAAGAAATACAAGGTAGCCTAAAGTGAAGCAAAGTGCATCAACCAAAATGCTAATTGTGCTCAGGGTTGGAGGTTTGTTATCTCCATACCCGAAGCCTGAAAAATAATTAAAAAATGAGGCATTATTTCCAAGCATTTGCTTGACGCGCGCCTCAATTCACACTCGATCCAATGAGCTTCTGCGTGAACATGCTTTCACAAATGTCGAATTTTTGTGATTAGTCATGACTATTCATTGGATTGAATGCCGGAAAAATGAATAATCAGAGATTATGTAATTTAATCGAATGCGACCGACGTGATCCGATAAAATTTCCGGCAGAGCGTAAGAACTTCTCGGAAGTATTATTTACAGCGGAAGCTGTATAGGTAAACAAATTCTAGACTTTCAGTAACTTATACAAACTCTGAACTCAGTCGTGTAAGTCACTGTCTAGGGCATAGCTACTGCAATTAACTGTGTTGGGAATTGAATGAGACACTGTTAATGTGGACATATGATGCCAACCCTCAATTTTGTATCCCCTATGTCTATTCTCAACTTAGAAGTTAGAAACGTAGCTATCTTGAATATCTTCATCATAAACGATAATAATAAATAAACCATGTTCTCTAATCTACTCATCTCTTCGTTCAATCTTTGCCTTTTTTCTGCACTTCTTTTGTTTTTCTTCTTTTATTATTCTTGTTGCTTAATTGGGGTTTGCCTCAGGTTTATTATTACACTATAAGAGTTGCTTCTTTCATTTTTTATAACTTCTTACCATGCAACATTTTATTAAATAGTTTGGGTTCATTTTAAAGGTCTTTTGCAACTTTGCAAGGGCTATTGTATGGCATCTATGAAAAATTACATATGCTATTTGTAAGGTGCCTGAAACAAAAAAGGAGCACCCCAAATTACCCCTGGCCCTGGGAGCCTGGGAGGGAGTGTACTGTGCATGCATGAGGAGTGTACTGCTAACTGCTGTACTCTCCCATTGGCCATTACTAACACTAACAGTACTGAGTGGTAGTCCAAAGTCCTCTTCTTCTTTGATAGATGATGTAAATGTAGGATAAATGACATCTTAAAATAAATCATAGTTTAGGTTAATTACTTTTCATTCTATGTTGCCACTTGCCTGGTACAAAATTCTATCAATTACAATCTATGCACAATTTTGTGATTACAAATGATGCATTAATTTTTCCTTAAGTGAATTTTTTTATAAAGTGAGGTTAATGTAATCAAAATTATTAGTTATTACTAAATTTTTTGGAAACTGGACTACTGGAGGCTACTAAGGCTTTGCTAACCAAGGTTCTACTGTAAATACATTTTTAGGGGCGTCCCTTATGCCCTCATCTTGCCACAATTTTTTCAATGAGCTACGCAAATTCCATCACTAACATTTTTATGTCAACACCTGTGTGCAACTTTTTTGTATGTAAAATTTTTATAGCAGAGGTACTTTTTTAAAATCTCTCACTTTTCACACTTTTTTCAGGTATTATTTAGAAGTATTAAATGTATGATTTCTTAAATTGCTTTATGCTACATAGATAGGAAAAATATTTAACTTCTCACCACTATTTTCTGTCTGCCCTTTATTAACTCCATTTGATGGTACTTGTTTTTTCTTCATTGATATGATATTAAGGTACTCCATATCCATACATTAACATATTATTGATGTGATATTCCCGTATCCATGGACATGCCATTGATAATTAACAACAATCTTGTTAACTGCAGGCTTCATATCAGCAGCCATTATGAACCATATAGCATTTCTTCTGTATCTGTAAATTTACAGGACAATGCTTTTAATTTTGCACCATTTTAATTGGGTGAAGAGAATTCACTATGACAAAAAATATCATAAAAACATATCTGAAACCAAAAGGAATATTTTAGTGACAACCATCATATATTTTGAAGAAATAAACCTTACCTAGTCTGGATTAATTACTTTTCATTCTATGTTGACTGGTGCGGAGTTCTGTCTATGACATTATACGCACGATTTTGTGATGACTGATGCATTAATTTTTTGTCAAGTGAATTTTTTTACTGAGTGAGGTAATTGTGATCAAAATTCTTTGTTGTGAACCAATTTTTTTGTTAACTGGAGCCTTTGCTTGTAATGTACATGGCAGCTGCACTGCCGCATGCAGTGTTATCTAGACTGTCAGCGTGGGAGGTTGTCTGCTGGAGGCTGCAAGCCGCTCCTCTAATTTAAGGTCGGCGTTCACAAAACTCAAATTACTAAGGTAATTTAAAATTGATATGTAATTGCACCATGCTCTCCCATTGGCCATTACTAACACTAACAGTACTGAGTGGTAGTCCAACTCCAAAGTCCTCTTCTTCTTTGATAGATGATGTAAATGTAGGATAAATGACATCTTAAAATAAATCATAGTTTAGGTTAATTACTTTTCATTCTATGTTGCCACTTGCCTGGTGCAAAATTCTATCAATTACAATCTATGCACAATTTTGTGATGGCAAATGATGCATTAATTTTTCCTTGAGTGAATTTTTTTACAAAGTGAGGTTAATGTAATCAAAATTATTAGTTATTACTAATTTTTTTGGAAACTGGACTACTGGAGGCTACTAAGGCTTTGCTAACCAAGGTTCTACTGTAAATACATTTTTAGGGGCGTCCCTTATGCCCTCGTCTTGCCACAATTTTTTCAATGAGCTACGCAAATTCCATCACTAACATTTTTATGTCAACACCTGTGTGCAACTTTTTTGTATGTAAAATTTTTATAGCAGAGGTACTTTTTTAAAATCTCTCACTTTTCACACTTTTTTCAGGTATTATTTAGAAGTAGTAAATGTATGATTTCTTAACTTGCTTTATGCTACATAGATAGGAAAAATATTTAACTTCTCACCACTATTTTCTGTCTGCCCTTTATTAACTCCATTTGATGGTACTTGTTTTTTCTTTATTGATATGATATTAAGGTACTCCATATCCATACATTAACATATTATTGATGTGATATTCCCATATCCATGGACATGCCATTGATAATTAACAACAATCTTGTTAACTGCAGGCTTCATATCAGCAGCCATTATGAACCATATAGCATTTCTTCTGTATCTGTAAATTTACAGGACAATGCTTTTAATTTTGCACCATTTTAATTGGGTGAAGAGAATTCACTATGACAAAAAATATCATAAAAACATATCTGAAACCAAAAGGAATATTTTAGTGACAACCATCATATATTTTGAAGAAATAAACCTTACCTAGTCTGGATTAATTACTTTTCATTCTATGTTGACTGGTGCGGAGTTCTGTCTATGACATTATACGCACGATTTTGTGATGACTGATGCATTAATTTTTTGTCAAGTGAATTTTTTTACTGAGTGAGGTAATTGTGATCAAAATTCTTTGTTGTGAACCAATTTTTTTGTTAACTGGAGCCTTTGCTTGTAATGTACAGTAATCAAAATTATTAGTTATTACTTAATTTTTTGGAAACTGGACTAATGGAGGCTACCAAGGCTTTGCTAACCAAGGTTCTACTCAAAATGCATGTTTAGGGGTGTCCAGTATTACCCCTTATAAATACCCCGTTGTGCAGAAATGGCCGCCATTGTGTTTTGGATTACGCAAATTCCGTCTTTGAAGTTTTAAAGCCGACATATTTCTGCAACTTTTTTTCAAGCAAAATTTTTAAATATGGCAAATATTTTTTTATTACAGACCTTAGCAGAAGTACTAACATTTATCACTTGAAATATCACTTTCAAACATTTTTTGGGAATTTTTTAGAGCTGGTAAATGTATGATTTCTCAAGCTCCTTTATGCTACATAAATAAAAGAAATGTTGAAGTTTATGCCACTATCTTTACTTTTGCAATATTTCAATTAGTTTCACTGTTATTACATTTTTATACCGTGGTGGAGGACTCCCAATTTACCCCGCCAGTCCCTTATTACCATGTTTTAGGTAGTGCTTAAATGTCTATTTTATTTGTGGATCTGGAAGATGCTATATACTTCATTGATATTTATGATTTCTTTTATTGTTCATACAATTGTTGAACCAAATATCTTGACAGTTACGGTAATGTTGAAAAGCAAGTTGGTGATGATAACTTGCTGTTAATCTTTTCCCCACAGATTCTATAGAAAATACCATTCATAGTAGGTAGTAGTTAGAGTCCATTGCAATATCAATATTCTTCATTGCAAGTATCATCATGCTGTTATATCTTGTAGGTACATTCCATCCAGCAATGGAGGGCAGCAGCTCATCCTTACCCTCCATCATGACAGTTTACATCAAAGAGGAGCCTGAAGATGAGGGAGAGAACATAACTGTGAAGGATGAACCACTTTGCAGTGAAGAATATGAGGTGAAATTTTAAAAAAGATTCATTTGCAAGTCATTGAATTCCACCCCTAACGAATAATATATGGACAAATTTTTAACTCTACTAAATGTACGGTATCATATTTGTAAAGGTGCAAAAGTCTGTACAAATAACCTTCTAAGGAATGTTGTATGCTAGATCATTGGATTCTAGATCATGAATTGTTTATAAATTAAATTTCAAATTGTGATATATGATTCACATTGTATTATTCTGTTTTCTTGAATTGAATATCTGTATGCCTTATTTTTAGTTTGATCCTTTTTTAATTAGGCTAGGCTGTGATCATTTTAGTACATGAATTTCATCCAAATCCATGCATGGTAACTAATGATGTGTTGACCAGAAAACTCTACTTCCCTAAAATACATGATCCTCTGATCTATTTCCCACGGGTAAAGGCGACCCAACTAGTTCAGGCAAAGAAGGAGAGTTGCTGCCTTCATCTGAAGACAGGCTACTCTCCTTCCGCCTCTTATGGCGCGACATTCTCGTAGTTGACAATGTCGCGCTATTGATTAATTCTTAGGTTTCTCAGAGTTCAAAACTACAGTAATCTCAAGTTTCAAAATTGAAATCAGATATGTAGGCTTAGGGACTTACTAACGTCCGTCGTCGATCGCAGCTCGAACTTTTTCTTTCCGAGTGTTGGGTTTGATTCTAGCTTCACGTGACAGTTCTGGTCAAGATTGTTGAGGTGGACGGGTGGTTTAGCACTGGATACTGGAGCAGTGAGTTGCGGGTTCGAGATCCGTAGCAAGCTGTGAAATTTTGCGATGTTCAGAATAGGCGAAAGAGGTAATTGCCGAATCTTACACGCGCTGATACCGCCCCAAAATATAAAATTCTACGCGGTATTCAATGCATCTCATGTTCACTGCGTGTTGGGCTTCTCAGTGTCAGAGCTCATGTATCACTTCTCTAGAGATCAAAATTCAATGCTCCACAGTTTAACAACTCTTTCAGACTTGATAATTGCAAGGAAGAATCCTTTAAAAGCAGACTAGACGAAGCTATGCAGCAGAATATGTTCAGTCTTAGAATGCCTTGCAAATTACGGACCAGGCAATAAGTCCAGCCGCTATCTCAATCAATCGTCAGCTATGGAAAGATCGGGTTCCAAAGGCCGGATCCCTTGTAAATCAAGTCACGAAAAATTCAAGAATTGGCAACAGGCCATGGGCCTATTTTCTTCAATGCCGACACTTTTATTCTATTCTTAACTGGAATCATACTATTCGCGCTTCAGACCAGACACCGTCCAAGTGTCATCTTGATCTCCCTAATTATGGGCCAGGCCGTAGTTGCTGCCGCAAACTACATTATTTGGGAGCAATGTTGATTACTGTAATATAATCTATTTGTGCCAGAATCTGAGATTTGGTCATGTTTGCCAGTGGCCAATTCTTGATATTGCTGAATTTTTACTGCTAATGGCGATGCCTCACTCTTAAGCTGCCACAGATATGTGGCGACCATCAATAGAAACGATCTGTTTTATAAACACAACTGAACCACAACTTCCTGGTGCAATCAAAACAGCTTATTGATCATCATGTGGTGATCGGCCCCTACAAATAGTAGTTTTAGTCGCCGATTTATTGCAGTTGTGAAGATTCCTCCATGTGGATTACGACAGGATGGCGATGGTTGCTGCACGACTATGGGCGGACTGGCCAATGATGTAGAAGATCCTATAAGAAAGGAATTAAATAATGTTCATGAGTTTGATGAACACATTGTGTTTATTTGCTAGAAATATACAAATACTTCCCTTACATGGAATAATTGCATTTTATGCTTGGCAGCAAGGTTACCAGACGTTGGCTCGAAAAAACGACCAAATCCGACATAGGCTTAAATTACTTGTTTAGACCTAATTTTTCAATGACACAAATTACTTAACGTTCAGTTTTCGCGGCCAAACACTTGAAACACTCTTATTATATCAAGAACATAATTTTGTTTTTGTGTGTGGAGTATAGAACGCTTCGTTTTACTGAGACGCTTTTAGTGTTATGATATGAGAACCTAAAATAATGATGATGTCTGAGCTCAGTTCTGAAGGCATTAATAAGAGGTAGAACACAACAGATTAATTAACACAACCTCGAAGGCGAGGCTGCCAGAGCGGCAAGAGACAACGGCCAAATCTGCTCACAATAAAGCCCCCGTATTGAAGATTCATCAGTTAATTCGAAATTGCGGGTGAAATTTTCAGTCATCATAAAAAGTATTTTTTTAATTGAAAATGCTTTAGTTTGAACCCTTCATGAATTTTCGCTGACCAATGCAACTTAACGAGTAAACAGAACCTCTAATTTGGCTAGAAATAAACCCATCTGGCAACCCTAGAGAGTAAATATGCTACAAAAAATAGTGCATCGCACCATCTTGTACATGCAAACTATTCATGGCACTGCACAAATTTTGAAGCTACAAAGAAGACCAACCATAAGAATACTGACAAATACTTAATATTTACATATGGTAATAAATTGTAAGAAAAGGCCTTTTCCTGCACAAATTATAACAGCAGATGCACTGCGAAGTAGCGACATCAACCTCACAGCCCCGCGCGTCCTAAAGTTATAATTATGAAAGGTTACGTTCAGAGGTTTGTAAAAAGTACGCGTGCATAGTTGAATGGAAGCTGAACAAATTCAATGGATATGGTAATATCATATCAATAAAGGATAAACAAGTACAAATCACAGAAAATGTCATTTATTCTACATCTACACTATCTACAAAGGAAGAGGAGGACTTTGGAGTACTGTTAATAATGGATGAGTAGTACACTGCATGCTTCAAACATTTTAAAATTAAGTTTTATTTCAATTGTCCCAAATTACCCCATTCCCAGGGAAATTTGGGAGGCTTTTATTTTCTGTCTGGAACCTTACCAATAGCATATGACTTTTGTTTGGAGATGCCATGCAATAGCCCTTGCAAAGATCTTTAAAATGAGCCAAACTCTTTAATGAAATGTTTCATGGTAAGAAGTTATTTACAAAAAATTCTCAAAACAGTCTCTTATTACCCTGTTTGATGATACTTATTTGATCTTGAATTGCTTACAGATACTCTTCCTGCTTGGTTTAAGTTGGTTATTGCTGGATATCTTACTGCTTCTAGTGTGTCTCAGGAAACCTCATACTTATATACCCGCACATTAATCTCATGGCATACAGTATAAAAGAGTGCAGAGTTGTTCTGCACCAGCTCTCAGATGCTGCAGTCAAGAGTGGCTGGTGCCCTGAGCAGAGCCTCATTCAAGCAGCGACTGACGTGTGCAAACTCGAGCCTGAAGGTATGCTGCACAACTGGTGCGTGCAAGTTTATTTTATTTGTGAATCTGAAAGATGTTATACTTTGTTGATATTCATGATTTTATTGTTCATTTCATTGTTGAACCAAATCCCTTAGCAGTTTTGAAAGTAAGTTGATGATGACAACTTTCAGATTTCAAATATCCAACTATAAGATATATTTACTCCTATGAATTTCCAAAAATTTTGCATATTGAAAGAGTAAATTGCAGTTGAAAAATTAATTTTTAATAAGGTCACTATGCTACAAAAAAGGTTAAAGGTATATTCAATCATTCAAATGTATAGAGTAGCTATTTAGTCTTAATTTAATTCTATACGTTATGATCAAGTTACTTTAATTGATTGAACAGATATTAGTACTATTTCCATCTTTTAAAGATGAGAAAAGCATCAATTCTAAGTTCCAAGTCTAAATGTTCATTTAAATTCGCATATTTAATTCTTGGACATGGTAGAGGTGATGCTATTAATGGTGTGGAATGATGGGCAGATAATTATAAATTGGAGTGATTGGCAGAGGCATGATTTGGCAGGCAATTTAAGGCTAAATCAAAGTTAAAACAACATACTTTAAAATGTTGAAATAACATTGAATGTTAGTCCAGAATAAAAAGTGAATAAACATTTTTTTTTCAACATCATACCTTTTGATATTGTTTCAATGTTGAAATTGCGTTTAATTCCAACGTTAAAAGAGCACTTGTAAAATGTGTTCCGGCAATTGTTGATGCAACATTGAAAAATGATGTTGACTCACTTTTCATTCTAAACTAATAATCAACGGGATTTCAATGTCCCCAAGTGCATTGTTTCAACATTGCTTCAGCCTGACATTGCCTGATGGGAATACTGTAGCCTCAACCACAAACTGGAGGCTGTGGTGAGATCGTTTGGGAGGCAATTTTAAGTGATCATATAAGAGTAACTTGCTGGCTGAAGGGTTGAGGAGGCAGTAAAGATAGCTTAAGTCCAGTATTATGTTGATATTCTTAGCTGCAAGTAGCCTCATGCTAATTATTTATGTAAATTCCATCCAGCAATGGAGGGCAGCAGCTCATCCCTACCCTCCATCATGACAGTTTACATCAAAGAGGAGCCTGAAGATGAGGGAGAGGACATAACTGTGAAGGATGAACCACTTTGCAGTGAAGAATATGAGGTGATATTTTTAACAAGATTTGTAAGCTTGTAATTTAATTAAAATTATTATTAATAACTAAATTATTGACTCAAACAGAATTTGGATGAAGCATATTTTTGCAGTAAGCAAAAGCTTCCACAAAAAATGCTTACACAGAAATAAGCTTATAAACATCCTTATGAGAAATTTTTTATTGTAAGTAACTATTCATGAATTGCTAATAAATTTTATTAAATTAAGGTATTTGATTCACATTGTGCTATTCTGTGAATCTTGTATTGAATATTTTAATTCATTATCTATGGTATAATCCTTTTTGAGTTAGGCCATTTATTGATATTTTTTAATTTACAAATTTCTGTCCAAATCCATGCATGGTAACTAATGTTCCTGCTCATGATGTGCTGACCAGCAAACTCCACTTCCCTCATCTTGCAAGCCATGCAAGAAAGAGGTTCAAGTTGAGGCTCACGAGGCCTGCACCAGCGCCTCACAGTACACTGCTGCAGTGCCTCATAAGCAGGTTGGTGGAGCTGGTTTCTCAGTACAAATAAATTGCTGAGCAATTCAAATGCTGATGATAGCTGATGATGATCAGCTCTTCTGATCTGATCTGATGATCAGCTCTTATTTTTAATACGTACATTTATCATTTGTTAAGCAATTTATATTCTCAGTCCTTTGTTCTCCCATCCAAAGTTTTTGACTCATTTTCTGATAAATATCTTCCTGTTTAATCAAAGGTTAATGTTAGTATTCCATTGAAGGTTTAAAATGAACAGAACTTCTGTGGCAATATGTACCTCCTCCGGTAATGCATGCTGCAATGGTGTTCATTTCTTGTATACTGTGAGATTTGATTTCGATGTTGTTAGAGTTTGTAGTGTCTAATTTATGTTTAATATTTTGATAGCCCAATATTTATTTGTAAGCTCTAGTTTTTTCGAGTGCAGCGCGTTTCGTAGACAGTATACCTGCCGTGGCTCTTATTTCCAATCGAAATCGATTTTCACAATGACAAAATTTTAACGTTGCAAGACAAGACATTAATAAACTCGATGGTCAACTTTTGGGAGGCTTGAATTTTTGAGTGAAATAAAGTAAATAATTAGTTAAATCAGTTTTGTATCCTCGACGACTGACTAATTATTATAACAAGATCTTTTGGAGTCAGATCAAAGCAGAAGAGTTTAACTCGTTGTGAACACCGGAATTGCGAACTGAGGTCGGGTAGATCCTGCATAGCAATTCAAGATTCAACATATACCTTGTTTTTCAGGTTTTTTTGTTCTTCTGTTTAAATAAATTAGAGTTTGGTATTTCTATGTTGGAAATGGATATGAATTCACACTTTCTTTCTGTTTATTTTACAGATGAATTCTTTCTGCATAATCCTCGTATCAGGTATCCAAAATGTCATTGTTCTGTAAAAGATGTATATACATCAGACACGACTTGAGACATTGTTTATGGACTTGCATTAACAGAAGTTCCGTGCCCTGATGTCTTTTCTATTTCTATTGCTGAGATGATTTTCCTTTTATTAGAAATATTCTAATGCAATTGATATAATTCAAGCCTTTTATGTGAATTCTGTCTCCATAAAAAAGTTTAGAAGACAATGATAATTTTATCTAATATACGTTTGAACACTGCATTAATTTTATGACTCGAGTTCATTGCCTGATTTGAAAGAATTGCTCACATGAATCTGCTCTCGGTCTCCAGGATGTCTTGCCTTGCAATGCCCAGAGCAACATTGGACAGGATGAGTGGATGGCAGTTTCTCCTGAAAACATTGAAAAAGATATTTCTGTTGCTGAGAAAAATATTTCTCCAGTGTCCAATCAAGCAGCTTTAGTCCAGGAAGTTCTCTTTGATCAGCCTGTGGCCTAGTTCAAGTCTTTTGAGTCAAACTTGTCCAACAAAGACAATGGAAGATTAGCAGAGTTATTGCATGAAGTTTCCTCATCAACTGATTCATCCCATTCTAAAGTTCCTTTTAATGACCTCCAGTTAAACAAAAATGATTTTGGATCTAAATTTAAATGCACGTTATGCAACTATGTAACAGCTAAAAAACAAAATCTCCATAGTCACTTGTTTGCAAAACATGGTTTGGGGGAAGGATTCAAATGTAAGTTGTGTGATTATGCTGCTGGTAGTAAAGTTCATCTCAGCAAGCACGTTTTTTCGAAGCATGGTTTGGGAGGCTTAAAATGCAAGCTCTGTGATTATTCTGTATGTGATAAATCTCGTTTAAATGAGCACATGTTTTCTAAGCATGGCATGGGTAAAGGATTTCAATGCAGGTGGTGTGATTATGTCAACTGCAGAAAAGATCGCCTTGATAGCCACATGTTTTCTAAACATGGTTTAGGGAAGGGATTCCCATGTGAGTTTTGTGATTATGTCACTGGTAAGAAATGGTCTCTAACAAAGCACCTGAAATCCAAACATGTTCTGGATTATGAAAAAACTATTAGTACAAGTAGTGCTACTATGTCTGCTGACAACCCAACCTAAGCTTTGTTGAGGGGGTTTGGTTGAATTCTGTTTGTGTGTATAGGTTGCAGCTGGTAAATATCAGATAAAATGTGTACTGATTTATAGCAGTTGTTTGGTTAAAGTATTCCATATTGAGTTTTCATGCCACAATCAAAATTTGAATGAGACTTGCAAACTATGCACCTTCCATGTCAAGAAATCAAGGTCTTGATGCTCTGTAATCTGGTCGGCCTTCTCATTTTGTGCCAGAATTTTTAATTTTAAATAGAATCTTATTTAGATGAGATAATGTGAGTGAAGCAGATCAATTATTCTGCTCTTATAATCGGTACGTAGTTCAATACATTGAAATTTTCAAGATTATTGGAATCAAGTACTTAGTCTTTTCATTACTCAGTTGGGGGAAGGGCCTTTCCAATAATAAACTTCTTAGTGGCAACAATAGTAGCGTCCACTTGTAGGCTACTTATTTAAAGTTGCTAGATTGAAATAACATTTACCAGGTTGAATTTAGTTGAGGTTTGTGATAATGATTTCTCAATGTGAATTTTAGGATTACATATTTAACTTTGAATTTAAGTTACCCAATCTTCAGCTAGAGATAACACCTACTCCTGGAGTTGGAAGATAATATGTCTAAGATATTGTACTGATGATAAAATACATGAGATTTCATCTCATAATAATATGCATTCAAAAATTACTTTTAGAGACCACATGTACTATGTAATTTTTTATGTTACACATGTACTATACGGTGCCTGGGACCCCCACGTGCGCGGTGCCTGGGACCCCCACGTGCGCGGTGCCTGGTTTTGTTTATGTGTTTTTAGACCTCAAGCACGTGACGAGGATATAGAAGTGAAGTTGTAGTCACTGTAAGCGAGTGTGAAGCGTCCATTTAATGTGGGACGTCGCTCTAGGGTGTTCGTCAGATCAGCTTGAACCTTGCATTCTTGAAATGTCAAGCCCCTTACGGACCTGATAAAAGTCCAGCAGATGTTTCCATGGGCCTATTTCTTCAGCGCCGTAACCACAATACTATACTACGCTTATCTCCACAAATACTACAACATAGTCCACCTCGAAAACGTGGTGTGTTTTTACAAGCCTCGCTCGGCGCGCTATACCCGCCCAAGCCTCAGTCTGCTCCGTGTTGACATTTTGTGAGCATCGGTGCTACTCTTCTCTTCTCCAGCCTGGATTAATTTTTTGGTGATATGTAATTTTAGTTTTAAGCGTCTTTAGGTATTCGCATTATTTATGTGTCAACCCTAGGCAATCAGCGTGGCCAACCATTAGTTATATAATGTAAAATCTAGAGATCCATAGCTAAAGCGACTATTTCGATGCTGATCATAAACATGCCACTACTCGGTGTTTGATATACACAATGGCTTCCTAGCCCTTACCCTTCCTTACGAATGTCTAGCCATATTTCATGATGTCTCCCTGTTAAACGAGAATTGTGTATATTAACGATGGCTTACCCTTTGGGGTGAGATCTAAAAACACCTCATGGTTTTGATTGATGCTTATATATGACACCACATTATACCCCTGTGCAGCTTTAATATCGTTCAAAACCGGGTAGTTTTTGAATTGTTTCTTCATATGTTCATATTGCAGCAATTTATTTGCAATGCAGTGCTTCAAGACAACTATCAAGATATTGCCAGTCTCTACTCGTAGACCTGGTATAAATTTGCACCAACCTCAATATATTCGATACCTCCATTGATGCTTTTACGAAATGCATGGCCATCAATATCAACTGTTTATGTTTACCAACCATTGACGCTAATTCCTGCCAGTTTTGTCACGAAGTCGCCAAAATCTTATAAGTCTCCAATGCTGCCTAATCAAAACCTTTATTTGTGTAATAATCACCTCGTGCATGGTTCAATTCCTCGTTGATGGACCACCACATCCATGTCATAATGTGTTATATTATCATTTGCAGTGAATTTTTGATGAATTTCACTATATCATAATTTAGCATTCAATGTTTTCAATAGGTTGAAGGACATATGCGTTGATTGTCTAAGATCAGACTAAATTAAGATAAAACGCAAACAATATGGTGCACGTGCCCCAATTTATACTATTCTAAATTGCAATCGATATGTACTGCACAGGTAAAAATTAGTATACCCCTCATGTTTCCAACATTCCGGAAACGCTAAATTCTCCGTGAAATATCATGGATCATTTGTGCGCCACGGCTGCGCTCCTGCTGATTGGTCATTGGTGCACAAATTTGGTGGTGCTTGGCTGCGTACCCGAGAAGAAACTCTTATAATTTGAATTATACTTCTATGTATACAGTGCAAAGGTGTATACTGTATAGACGTATAGTGTATACCTTTACAAATAGTAGCATGGTACCATCATTCTATGACCTATGTAGCATAATGCAAGTTAAGAAATCATACATCTAGAAAATCCCTGAAAACAGTGTGAAAAGTGAGTTATTTAAAAAGTACCTTTGCTAAGGTCTGTAGCAAAGAAAAATTTTCAGTATTAAAAAATTTCACTTGCAAAAAAGTTGCACACACTCACAGGTGCTGTCTTGAAAACGTTATTGATGAAATTTGCATTGCTCAATCCAAAAAATGGTGGCCATTCTGGCTCTGCAACATGGGGTAATAGGAGACACAACCCGGGCCCTGAATTGAAATTGAAATTGTTTGGCAAAGGCTTCAGTTGAAAAAAAAAAGATTAGCAACAAAGAATTTTGATCACCATCAAATGGGGCTTAACGGGCCATGGGGTAATAAGGAATGGGAATGGTAAATCAGGACAGTTGTCCCACCTTTCATAGAAATGTTGTACTGGCTAAACTAGTAAAAATATTGCAAAACTAAAAATAGTTGTGTAAAGTTCAACATTTCTACTATCTATAATCTATGTAGTATGTAGTACTAGGCTAGTATGTAGGCAGCCACTGAGCAGAGAGTGGATGAATATTGCAAGATCTTTGGCGACGCTTCAGTAGCAAAATTTACGCCTTCAGAAGATCTTGCCAACACATTTAGATTGAAATTCTTGCATTTAATATATTTGTCAGTCTTCAGCCAACTATTTGAAAAAAGTAAGGTTTCCAGTATGTTGGATGGATCAGGATGCAGTGAAGCTTGTCCGGAAATTGGTTGCAAAGAGTTCCCGCCAAAAAAATGTAAACGTCAAGTTTACGATAACGTAGTTGCGGTCAGGATGGAATTCTAATTTCGAAGGTTCATATATTATTTTGATCCACCAAGACAATTTTTTCTACCCAATATCGTTATTTGAGGCAAAAATGAACTTCTTAAAGGCTTAAAACACGTATGCTAACTTGCTCAGTTTCTATAAAGTACCTAATCACTTGGAAGTTGTAATCCTGCACCTTTCACTCAACAATTAAAATTAAACTTACAAAAAGTATTAGTTAGTCAAAAATTTGTCTTAAGTTGACCGCAATGAACTAAACTTCATTAAGTAATTATAACTACACTGCAAAGAGGAGTTTTCCATCATGCACACTAAACACGCAATTCAGAGTTCAGACAAGCAGAACTACATATCACGTAGGCTAACGTGCTACTGAATTAAATAGGTACCTAGCTTCTTTCCCACTCCCGGTGCATAATCTAGTGGGATGATCAATGCGGATGGTAACTGAGTCAAACTAATCAATCGTATACGTAGTGCAAGAGAATGAATAATTATGTTGTTTCTGATCAAACAAACGAAAACTTCTGATCAAATGAAATAAAACTTCTAATCAAACGAACAAAAACAAACTTTTTGAAGATAATTCTGAAATCATATAGAATTCTAATACGGATTGTTAATTTTAACATCAGATTTCCAAAAATCAAGTATTGCATTTCTTTTAATTGAAAAACATTCTTTTACATCAAAACAACAAATTTTTTCTTACAGCTCCTCACGAATGACGAATGAATGCTGATCATATTGATGAATGATGATCTTACTCTTATAGCAAAAAATTTTAAATTGAACGATTTTGTCATTAGTATGTTGGCTACGTTACGACTCTTTTACGTCATTTTACGTGCCGCCCGGCAGTTTTTTGGGTGTCCTGAAAACCTCCGATTGGTCGCACGGCAAACCCTCCTACAGTTTTCTCTCCTACAGTTTTTTACATCTCCTCCTACAGTTTTTAAGCTACAGCAATGAGACATATACCATTCGATTCGTAAAGACCATACCTATAGAACTGATGATCATTTTTTAATTTCTGTCTGGTTCGTTTTTTATATGGGGGAGAAGGGGGGGGAGGGGGGAAAAATGAGAAAAAATGAGAAAAATGTGATAAAACGCGCATAAAAAAAACTAAGAGGAAAATGAGAAAAATGATCATCAAATCTATAGGTATGGTCCTTACAAACCGAATGATATGTGTCTCGATGTTGTAGGATGATATTTGTAGGAGGAGATAGATTTTCTAAAGTACCCCTTTTCAGCCGTTTTCTATAAATTTCACGTTTTCTATCAATTTTTTCGAAAAATTCATGTGAGCAAAATGTTATTTTTTTACATTTTACGTATGTATGTGAAGTTTCATGATGATCGGATAATAACTGTAGAAGTTTTTCCAGAGGGTAGTCGGTCCCCTTAATGCACTATATGGTACGTGCTCTATGTTTTATATAATGAAATAGTTTCCCATGTTAAACAACAAAAATTTTTTAAAATACACAAAACGTCCGAAAACACAGGATGGCAGACGAAATCATTCAGAATTTGAAGTGAATTTATTAAGATAAATTCAACATAATAGGGCAAAAAATAGAAAAAATTCAAATCTGGAACGTATAAATGGGTTTTTATAATTTAAAAAAACTTTTAATCATTTAAATCTCAGAATGGAATGTGAATCAAATCTATTTATTGTGAAATCAGACTAGACACAACCAAAACATAAGCGTGTGACACCGTCTTGTAATACGTAAACAGAAAACACAATGTGAACCTACGCAGTGAAAAAGTAGCAGTTAATCTCATAATTTTGTGTGATATCGAAAACTTTGTTGGTGTTGTCCAATCGTGAGAATTTTTATGAAGCTGGATGTGTTTTTTTCATTTTAGAATGTATTCATTGCAAAAATGTGTCTGCTAGCCTACAGATAAACGACTAGTTAACTTGATTAGTCGTTGGCAACATGGGATTGGATTTCAAACCATGCGCAATTTCAGAAGCACGGCAGTTTCTAATGAGCTCAGTTTATCAATTTTCATTGCAGTGGAAGGTGGTGTAACGCGGTGGTAGGGTTGGTATTTCGATACGTTTTCTTATATTGACATGAGAATATATTACCTATACAGAATTCCACACTGGTTGCGGTCACATTAGGGCAGTCAGACTGCATTATCAAATGTTCAGTTGACACTTGCTGTACAATAAGACTGTTTTTAGGGTAAAATGAGTTATTTGGGGTAACGCGTGCATGCAACCTTGTAAATAAGTTCGTGGCTTGTAAATAGTTTTTCATTACTCAGCGTAAATGGCTTTTCATTAAAAATTACTCAGCAATGCATCTTAAAATTACCCGGTGACGCTTAGGCTTAAAAACCCATTTATTGGTGATGCTGCATCCACCCTCTGCACCCTGGGTAGGTAGCATAAAGTAAGTTAGGAAATCATATTTTCACTACTTTCAACTTCAAGAAATCCCTGAAAAATGTGTGAAAAGTGCGGTTTTGGAAAACTATCTGTGAGGCTGTGCTTAGCCTATGGTCTGTAGCAAAAAATGTAATGTATTAAAAATTTTACTTACATTAGTTACATAAAAGTTGAACATAGGTGTTTGCTTAAAAATGTGATTGACAGAATTTGCAGATCTCATCCAAAAAATGGCAGCCATTTCCACAAGACATGGTATTAAGTTTTTTTAATTTGAGGGACACCCGCAAAAATGCATTTACAGTAGAACCTTGGTTAGCAAAGGCTCCAGTCAACAAAAAAATCAATTGACAACAAATAATTTTGATTACCTACATTTACCTTGCTCAGCAAAAAAGAAATTCACTTAAGGGGAGCTGGTGCAAAAATTGTCAATTTAGACTTTTCCTGTTTTTATGCTCATCTTAAAGCTGACATTCTGACCTATCCAACGGTACCAAACCCATCTTTGTATGTTTATTTATGCGTTTACCACAGATCACATAAGGGTTAGGTGTTGTGGAGCTCTTCAACATTTTCTTTTGGGGGAAATTGCTGGCCAGACACATAAGACTAACGTCTGTGGACCCTGTAGTTCAGTTGCCCAGTAGCTGCTATGCTGGAAGGTGCTCATGCAGTCATTCTCTGCATCTGTGACTGAATTCTAGCTCAAGTAAGGCTTTGCCTGGTATCCTTGCTACCATAAATGTCTACATATAACATGCCGCGGCCGCTCGCGGGCACTCAGGGCTTTGTCGCACTCTCCTGAACATTTTAACTTATTGTCACTACAAACCTATCTCCTAGAGTTTTGAAGCTACATCAATGAGAGATATACCATTCAATTTGCAAAGAAAAGATCTAGAGATTCATTGTAGATTTTTTTCAATACCACTATAGTTTTGAAAATATTTTGAAAAAAGGGAGGGGGGAAAAAGGGGAAATAAAAAATGTATTAAACAATTTACGAAAAATGGGAAATAAAAAATGTATCAAACAATTTACGAAAAATGCCCCCCCACCCACAAAAATTCTAATTTCAAAAAAAAGCTTTAACCAATTGAAAGATATGGTCTTTACTCATTGAATGATAAGCTTCTCGACATTGTAGCTTGAAAATCCCAGGAGGAGATAGATTTTGACAGTATGGTACTGCCTTTTCTGGCCATTTTCTAATAATTTCACATCTACATCATCTACCAAGGTAGAGAAGGACTTCAGAGTACTGTTAGTAATGGATGAGTACACTCTGCATGCTTCAAACATTTTAAAATTAAGTTATATTTTGAGTGTTCTGGATTAACCCGTTCCCAGGGGTAATTCGGGACACTTATTTTGCATCTGGCACCTTAGGAAGAGCTTATGAAATTTTCTTGGAAATCCCATATGGCAGCCTTTGCAAAGAGCTTTAAAATGAGCCCACACTTGTTTATGAAATGTTTCATGGTGAGAACTTAACAAAAAACGCCCAAAGCCGTCCCTTATTACCCCAGTTATTACCCAATCAACGTTTTGTCACTTGACAAAAAATTTGTGCTTTTTTGATCACCACAAAATTGTGCATTGATTGTCACCAATAGTATTGTGCACTGGGCAACATAGAATGAAAAGTAATTAACCTAAACTATGATTTTTTTTCTCCAAAAAATATGATGGATGTCACTAAAATATTATTTTCTGTTCCAGGGATGTTTTTAATAATCTGTTTCTTGTTATAGTTTACTTGACCTAATTAAAATTGTGTAAAATTACAAGCCCAGTCCTGTAAGCTTACTGATAAATAGGAAATGCTATTGGTATGGCTGCTGTTATGAAGCTTACAGTGGACAAGGTTGTTGTCAATGCTCTGCTCAATGACATGTCCATGGATATGGTAATATCATATCAATAAAGGATAAACAAGTACAAATCACAGAAAATGTCATTTATTCTACATCTACACTATCTACAAAGGAAGAGGAGGACTTTGGAGTACTGTTAATAATGGATGAGTAGTACACTGCATGCTTCAAACATTTTAAAATTAAGTTTTATTTCAATTGTCCCAAATTACCCCATTCCCAGGGAAATTTGGGAGGCTTTTATTTTCTGTCTGGAACCTTAGCAATAGCATATGACTTTTGTTTGGAGATGCCATGCAATAGCCCTTGCAAAGATCTTTAAAATGAGCCAAACTCTTTAATGAAATGTTTCATGGTAAGAAGTTATTTACAAAAAATTCTCAAAACAGTCTCTTATTACCCTGTTTGATGATACTTATTTGATCTTGAATTGCTTACAGATACTCTTCCTGCTTGGTTTAAGTTGGTTATTACTGGATATCTTACTGCTTCTAGTGTGTCTCAGGAAACCTCATACTAATATACCCCCACATTAATCTAATGGCATACAGTATAAAAGAGTGCAGAGTTGCTCTGCACCAGCTCTCAGATGCTGCAGTCAGGAGTGGCTGGTGCCCTGAGCAGAGCCTCATTCAAGCAGCAACTGACGTGTGCAAACTCGAGCCTGAAGGTGTGCTTCACAACTGGTGCTTGCAAGCCTAGTTTATTTGTGAATCTGAAAGATGTTGTACTTTGTTGACATTCATGATTTTATTGTTCATTTCATTGTTGAACCAAATCCCTTAGCAGTTTTGAAAGTAAGTTGGTGATGACAACTTTCAGCTTTCAAATATCCAATTATAATATATATTTACTCCAATGAATTTCCAAAAATTTTACATATTGAAACAGTAAATTGTAGTTTAAGAATTGATTTAATAAGGTCAATATGCTAAAAAAATGTTATATATCCAATCATTCAAATGTATAGAGTAGCTATTTAGTCTTAATGTAATTCAATATTATCAAGTTACTTTCATTGATTGAATAAATATTACTATTTCCATCTTTTAAAGATATGAAAAGCAGCAATCCAAGTCTAAATGTTCATGTGGAGTGGTGATCAGATAATAACTAGTGATTAGCAGAGGCCTGATCCAGCAGTCAATGTCAGGCTAAATCAACATTGAAACAACATACTTTAAAATTTTGTAATATCATTGAATGTTAGTCTAGAATAAAAAGTGAATCAATGTTATTTTTTTCAACATCATACATTTTGATATTGTTTCAATGTTGAAATTGCCATGAAATCCAATGTTAAAAGAGCACTTGTAAAATGTATGTATCAGGTTAACATGTTCCATCATGAATGTCACAGTATTCAGGCAATTGTTGATGCAACATTGAAAAAATGATGTTGATTCACTTTTCATTCTAAACTAATAATCAACGGGATTTCAATGTCCCCAAGTGCATTGTTTCAACATTGATTCAGCCTGACGTTGCCTGATGGGAATACTGTAGCCTCAACCACAAACTGGAGGCTGTGGTGGGATCGTTTGGGAGGCAATTTTAAGTGATCATATAAGAGTATCTTGCTGGCTGAAGGGTTGAGGAGGCAGTTAAGATGGCTTAAGTCCAGTATTATGTGATTTTCTTAGCTGCAAGTAGCCTCATGCTATTAATTCCTGTAAATTTCATCCAGCAATGGAGGGCAGCAGCTCATCCCTACCCTCCATCATGACAGTTTACATCAAAGAGGAGCCTGAAGATGAGGGAGAGGACATAACTGTGAAGGATGAACCACTTTGCAGTGAAGAATATGAGGTGATATTTTTACATGATTTGTAAGCTTGTAATTTAATTAAAATTATTATTAATAACTAAATCATTGACTCAAACAGAATGTGGATGAAACATATTTTTGCAGTAAGCAAAAGCTTCCACAAAAAAAGCTCACACAGAAATAAGCTTTTAAACATCCTTATGAGAAATTTTTTATTGTAAGTAACTATTCATAAATTGCTAATAAATTTTATCAAATTAAGGTATTTGATTCACATTGTGCTATTCTGTGAATCTTGTATTGAATATTTTAATTTATTATCTATGGTATAATCCTTTTTGAGTTAGGCCATTTTTTGATATTTTTTAATTTACAAATTTCTGTCCAGCAAACTCCACTTCCCTCATCTTGCAAGCCATGCAAGAAAGAGGTTCAAGTTGAGGCTCACGAGGCCTGCACCAGCGCCTCACAGTACACTGCTGCAGTGCCTCATAAGCAGGTTGGTAGAGCTGCTTTCTCAGTACAAATAAATTGCTGAGGAATTCAAATGCTGATGATAGCTGATGATGATCAGCTCTTCTGATCTGATCTGATGATCAGCTCTTATTTTTAATACGTACATTTATCATTTGTTAAGCAATTTATATTCTCAGTCTTTTGTTCTCCCATCCAAAGTTTTTGACTCATTTTCTGATAAAATATCTGCCTGTTTAATCTAAGCTTGTTGTTAGTATTACATTGAAGGTTTGAAATGAACAGAACTTCTGTAGCAATATGTACCTCCTCTGGTAATGCATGCTGCAATGGTGTTCATTTCTTGTATACCTTGTTTTTCAGTTTTTTTTTGTTCTTCTGTATAAATAAATTAGAGTTGGGTATTTCTATGTTGGAAATGGATATGAATTTACATTTTCTTTCTGTATATTTTACAGATGAATTCTTTCTATATAATCCTCGTATCAGGTATCCAAAATGTCATTGTTCTGTAAAAGATGTATATACATCAGACAAGACTAGAGACATTGTTTATAGACTTGCATTGACAGAAGTTCCGTGCCCTGATGTCATTTCTACATCAATTGTCAAGATGATTTTTCCTTTTATCAGAAATATTCTAATGTTATTAATATAATTCATGTTTTTTTGTGAATTCAAGTTCATTGCCTAACTTGAAAGAATTGCTCACAAGAATCTGCTCTCCGTCTCCAGGATGTCTTGCCTTACAATGCCCAGAGCAACATTGGACAGGATGAGTGGATGGCAGTTTCTCCAGAAAACAAGGAAAAAAATATTTCTGTTGCTGAGAAAAATATTTCTTCAGTGCCCAATAGAGCAGCTTTAGTCCAGGAAGTTCTCTTTGATCAGCCTGTGGCTGAGTTCAAGTCTTTTGAGTCAAACTTGCCCAACAAAGACAATGGAAGATTAGCGGAGGAATTGCATAAAGTTTCCTCATTGACTGATTCATCCCATTCTGAAGTTCCTTTTAATGCCCTCCAGTTAAACAAAAATGATTTTGGATCTGAATTTAAATGCAAGTTATGTGACTATGTAACAGCTAAAAAACAAAATCTCCATAGGCACTTGCTTGCAAAACATGGTTTGGGGAAACGATTCCAATGTAAGTTGTGTGATTATGTTTCGGGCAGGAAAACACAACTCAAAATACACATGTTCTCTGAACATGGTTTTGGGAGGAGTCTAGAATGTGATCTGTGTGACTATGTTACTGCTCAAAAAAAAAGTTTCCAATATCACCTGTTTGCAAAACATGGCTTGGGGAAAGGACTCAAATGTAAGTTGTGTAATTATAAAACTGACAGACAAACACAACTCAAAGCACACATGTTCTCTAAACATGGTTTAGGGAAGAGTGTAAAATGTGATCTTTGTGACTATGTTACTGCTCAAAAAAAATGTTTTCGATATCACCTGTTTGCAAAACATGGTTTGGGGGAAGGATTTCAATGCAAGTTGTGTGATTATAGCAACTGTAGACTAGATTTTCTTGATAGCCACATGTTTTCTAAACATGGCTTAGGGAAGGGATTCCCATGTGAGTTCTGTGATTATGTCACTGGTTCGAAAAGTTCTCTCAATAAGCACCTGAAATCCAAGCATATTCTGGTTAGTGGAAGATCTATTAGTGCAAGTTGTAGTACTGTGACTTCAAACAGTCTGATCTATACTTAGTTTTGGGGGTATTGGGATATTCTGTTTGCATAGGTTGCAACTGGTATATATCAGATGAAATTTGTACAGATTTATGACTATTGTTCGGTATAGGTATTCCATTTTGAGTTTAGTTATGCCATAATCAAATTTAAATGACACTACCTTGAATAAACTAGGGTGGTTTTTAACTTGGTATTGGATTTTTACCAAGCTTGATTTAGACCTAAGAGGTTGTGAGAATATATATTTTATATTTATTAAATTCAAAACTGTGTATTTCAAAGCCTATGGTAATCTCATCAATTGCATTCAATAAGTTTGATCTCAACAAGGGCCTATACTTTCAAAAAAAGTTAAGAGATCGTAAGTTCATCCGCCAATCATTGACGGCCTTTTAAGCCAAATCCACCAATCATAGACAAGAAAATAGAGCGTAAGTACTTACGTTCACTTAGCGAGTTTTGAATGTATGGCCCAAGTACTTTTTGGGATCACTCTGAAAATATACTCCTCTCGGTAGAGTTTTTAGTTAAACTATCCCACTGTCAGGTTTTAGCACAAGAATATCAGACGTGACGGGTTCTCACACTGGCAGCTACGACTTGACAAGGAGAATGACAAACATAACATCTCAGACATCATATACCAAAAGGCAAAATACCCTACGCCTAGTTACAGAGCTGGGAACGGTGAAAAAATGTGAGCACACAGCCCTACTAGCAGAGATAAATCCTATCCCATACAGAGCTGGGCCTGAGACAACAGACTAGACAATTACTTACAGGCCCGGAATTGTTAATTGAAACTGACACAGCGAGAACTAAATAAAGGTGGCTACACAATAATGCTAGTATTTCAATCAATTTCCACATTGGTACATCACCGTGTTGTGAAGAAAAAATCCCTTGGCGAATCCACGGAATCTCTGCCTGCGAGACTGGTCAATCCCGGCTCTTGACAATGCGCTCTGGGCGAGGTTCACTGGAGACGTCTCCTCGATGACAGCCGGCGGTATTTAGTACGGCTATAGTATGCTGAACGCCCGATCGTGGTTGTTGTTGTTGTTGTTGTGGTTCCCCGATCTCATTTTTATAAGAGACCCCCCTCGCGCAGGTACGACACCACCGACAGGGGGTCGCTCCAGAGCTTTAGGGTCGAGGTTATGTGGTGGTGTTGTCTGAGGTCCTGCCAGAGCGGACATTCCAGGAGAATGTGAGTGATAGTGTGGGGAGCTCTCTGGCAGGATGGGCAGGTGTCTGTGTCTGTTTGGCCTATTCTGTGTCTGTTTGGCCTATTTTGTTTGCGTATGTTTGTAGTGAAGGGTGGTGGCCGCAGCGCAGCCTGGCTAGGTATACTCTCTCCAGTCTAGAGAGCTGTGTTTCTGTGCTGCTTATGTCAGGTGGATGGTGCCCAAGGACTTTGTTGTTGCCGGCCACCTCCAGCGTTCTGAGTGTCATAATTGTGTGTAAGTGTTTTTTTGTGCTGGTGTTGCCTTGGGGTGGGGGGTACTGTATCTTGTATGTTGGTGTAGTATCTGTGTGGGATTTGCACTATTTGTCTGTGTGTAGGTGGGTGGTTGCGTAGGTAGTGGCACGGGTGTTGTGTGTTGTTTATGGCTGCGACTATAAATTGTGTTCCTCTCATGTCGAGGTGTGCTTTTATGGGAAGTATTTTTGTTTTTGCATGAAGGTGTTCTATGGGGTGCTTTGTGTGCAGCCTGTGACTATCCTGAGTGCTTTGTTTTGTAGTGTTTGGAGTTTCTGTATGTTTGTGTTGGATAGTGCGGGCGCCCAGGAGGGGCTGGCATAAGCCAACACTGTTCTGATGAACTGTTTGTATGTTGGTGCTAATGTTTCTTTGTTTTTGCCGAATTTAGTACCGCCTAGGGCCCGAAGTGAGTTTAGTCTGATTTTTGCGTTGTTCACTAATTTGTTGATGTGAGGGCCGAATGTCATGGAGGTGTTGTAAGTGACCCCTAGTATATCTGTTTCGTGTGTGTGCGGGATCGAGGTGTTGTTTAGTGTGATGTTTGGTCTGTATTGGTGCTCCTTTGTTTGGCTGGTCATTAATGTGTTTGTGGATTTACTAGGAGCAACCTTGAGTCTGTTCAGTGTGAGCCATTGTGATAAAGTGTTGAGATATGTTTGCGCTTGTTGAGTACATATGTCTGCGGATGGGTGAGTGGATGTTATTGTGACGTCGTCTGCGTAGGAGGCAATGTGAATGTTTGGAGGTGGTTCGAGTATGTCGTGCATGTATAGATTGAAGAGTGAGGGTGATAGGACGGAGCCCTGTGGGACTCCGTTGGGTATGAGTGATGTGTGTGATGACTTGCCTGAGTAGTGTACGTATGCTTGTCTGCCTGATAGGTAATTGGCAAGTCAGCGTTTGTTGTTGTTGTGTAGTGTGGTGTTGTAGATTTTGTTTGTGAGAGGGAGGCGAGGAATGGCATCAAAGGCTTTACTGATGTCTATTGTAAGTAGTAGTGTTCTGTGTGCGGGTTTGCGGGAGTTGATGCCATCGTTTATGCTTTGTGTGAGGTTTGTGAGTAGTGTTGTGGTCGAGTGGTGAGGTCTGAATCCGTGTTGTGTTGGAGAAAGTGTAATGTGCGGAGTGGCTGTGTTCAGTATGAGGCGCTCTATAACTTTTGATGGTGTACAGAGGAGTGTGATTGGTCTGTATGAGGCGGCCTCAGTGGGTGGTTTGTTGGGTTTGAGAAGTGTGATTATTTTGGCAATTTTCCAGATGTATGGTATTTTGGAATGTGAGTAGAAGTTGGCAATGTTTGTAAGTGTCGTGATTCCGTATGGGCCAAGGTGTGGTGTATGTTTGTAATGTTGTCGGGCCCAGCAGCGGAAGAGTTTTTAATTTGTTGTATGACCCTTTTGGTGTCGTTTGCAGTGGCTAGGGTAGCTGTTGGGTCTAGTGGAAATTGTTGTTTGCGTCTGATGATGCGTCTGTCTTCTTTGTATTTGGCTAACCTACTTATGTTTGCGTAGTGTTGTATTAGGATGTTTGCTGGTGCTTGTCTGGTGGGGATGTTGTCTGTGTTGGTGGTGATTGCTGCGTTGGTGTGTTCTTGTTTGCTACACAGAAAAGTGACATGAGTTGATAATGCGTGTGAGGACAGAGCGTTCCATGTCTCATACTATTGATGTGAAGTCAGCAATAGCTTCAATGGTATGGTAGCTCATGTAAATTTCATATTAAAATACCGCATGAAGGTATTACCGCTATTAGTATATGCATCTTAACCTAGCTTCTTATGGGTAAGAATAATAAATGCGACTCTTGATCGATTGAAAATCGTCCATTCTCTTGTTTTACCGCATTTTAGGCGTAATTTAAGCTGTTATATGTTAAATTGTAATTACTTGTAATAAAGAATGAGTACTGAGACCGGCTGAGTAACATTAACATCCGATCTTCTCGTTTCAGATGTAACTCAACGCGGAAAGAGTGACGACCAACCTAGTCTTTGCTACGGGCTTTATTTTTGTAATTTATTGTTTTAATTTAATTTAAGTATCATTATGTTTTAATGTAATTATTTTTGTAATTGTTTCGCTGTATTATTTGTACCTTACTGTAATCTGGAACTTCCTGCATCATCTGTTGTATGTTGATTTTTTCTGTCCTACGCTGGTCGTGACAATGTGACTTGTCTACATCTACAGTTTTTATTGAAAATAAAATATATTGATCATCCGTGGCATACTGGATGAAATTTCACCATTTTATTGATCAATATCTATGTAAATTTTTATAAGTTCGTTGCTAAAGTTCAGCCTATAATGTGGCTATCTGGCATGTCTGGCTTTGTCTAGGGTTCAACAACTCTGAATATGAAATCTACGCGCCCTGTGGATAGGTGTTATTTAGACTAATTATTGAGCCGTGGAAGAAATGCAGAGTTTTCAATTTTCCAACAAAGATGTTAAGAAAAGTTGAAGGACGTTTCAACGTCCATGTGATCTTCCTGTATTTTCATAACCCATGCCTTCTTCGGCCAAAAACTTAACACCAATTACGCTCATATAATATTTAATTATTTGAGTGTTTCAGAAAGCTATCAATTAATTAATAGGAAAAGATTGGAGAATATATTTAGCAGTTTATTTATATTGGTATTTCAAGTCTGTATATTTGCTTCGTTTATATTAGTTCATCTAAAGTTTCCTTGTACGATTTCAAAAGCTAGACCGTTTTCTGGGTAACGGCGTCCTGTCTGCCCTAATTCTGCATGCATCATTTTATATTAGTTAAAAATGCTGCCGTTTACAGGCTCGAATAACGTTGGATCACAGTTGTGTTATTACCAGTGAAGTGATCAATGTTTATAACCTGCACGTTTGTTTCAAGTTTGGTAGTGTAATGAAATGTTTCCATATTGGTCAATTCTTTCAATGTTTCCTTATTGATCGATACTGATCAAAATGCTTTCATTGTAAAGATTGAAGGCATCATTCAGTCTCGGATCAGTCGTTTTGTTGATAAGCGCAAGAAAGAACGTAATATTTGCCTTCCAGCTAAGGCTAAATTTCTTGTTATTTAACCCAAAATATGAACGCGGTGCCGTGATCCAATGTTGACACAAAAACAACTGATCAGTGTAAGGCATCTTCGTTTTTTATTAAATTTTTCCAAGCTTTGGTTAATGAAATACTTAATTGTGCAATTTCATAGTCAGTAAAATCATTTCCGGGCTGAGTAAAAAGGCTGTGTTAACTGTACGTTGTTAGATCTCTTTGTTGACTCATGGTGCCAATCTCTCACGTCCGTCTTACAGATAGTGGATCACTGACTTTACAAAGGAGAGCTTCCACTAAGTGAGACTAATTTCTACTTGAAGTTCAGTAAGCAAAATTAAAAAAAAAACCGTGACAAATGTAGAGAACATGGCTACTGCTTTACTGGAGTGCGAAGTTTGTGACGAGGCCTACGACTCGGGCAACCACAAGCCGCTTTGCCTGACGTGCGGCCACACGTTTTGCTTCTCCTGCATTACGAGTTTACTAGGAGTGCCTGAAACCCAAAATTGCCCAAAATGCAGGGGACAAATTTCCCAGCGCGCGGATCAAATGTTGGTCAACTATGCATTGATTCCTTCCGAAGTAAAGGCTCGTCTAAATCCTTTGTGCTTACTGTCAGCAAAACCGTGCAATCATCAAGGGAAGGCACAGGATTACCTGTGCGCGGACTGCATGGAACTCGTATGCTTCACGTGTACCCGCGGCACGCACGCCACGCACAAAATTGAGACGATAGACGACCTGCTTCAGGAAGAAGTAGGACTTGCGGACTCGTGGGCAAAACTGCGGATCACAATGAAGGACAAACTTGAAAGCGTGAATAGTTTCGTCTCCGTTTCTGAGGAACTTTTAAGCTTGATTGATGAAATCCTCAACCTCAAGACAGATTTTAAGGAATGGAAGGATGAGTTGCTGGCCCAGAAAGCGTCAGCAGAGCGAGATCTCGAGGTGTGGGGAGATGAGACAAGAGTAACGGATGAGAACACGAGACAAAAATTAAAGGAATTGATCAGTCGCCTAAAATTGAAACCAGAAGGGAATAAAAAGATACAAGAAATCAAGGCGAGGTTGAATGCAGCCAGCACGAAATGTACTTCATTAGAGGTAAGTTCAATGACATCACCGCCTTTAAACGGATGCTCTGAAATGGATGCAGTATTTTTTATATTAATTATGCACGACTTAAAATTGAATGCCGAACATCATTTCATCTTGAAGGACACGCAAAGTCACACTAGGAATCGCGTTTATGGTCCAAAATGCAGGAAAGATTGTACATGCCACGGTGGCAGAAATTTGGAAAGTGTTTGGAAAAAATTATGGTATAAAATTTTTCACATAAATTTGCAATAAAAAATTGTATATTTGACCCATATGTATATCCCCCTGCTCAAACTGATTATATTGACTCTACTCACATTGCGTTTATTCTAATCAGGAGGTTTGTCTGTCCAAAATATTATTGAAGTAGGTGGAGTGCATGAGTTGTAACGCGGTTAAAAGTTTCTTTTGGAAAACGGTACGAATTTCGGCTCTCTGTTCTCTCTGACAATAACTAATAACCCTAACAGGCTTAATAAATTCACCCCTTCATCTCGACCGCTCATCAAGCTTCCGGTGTTGTCACAACTGTTATGAACCTGTCAACCGCTTTAATTGAGATATCAACTTCCACTCTAAGTTCTTCGTTTGTCTAGAAGGATTCAGCAGTTGGAACACTACTATACAATAAGTTATAAATGAACTAACTTGTGGAAATTAATCTTACCATTGCTCCTAAATTCGAGAAGGCGTTCTAAAAAAATGTTCACTGCTCTACAGTTACCAACGTGTGAGCTCATGCTGCAAGGGGCAGCTTGGACAATCACCAATTCCGATGAAGGAGAGCGAGCCCTCGTTAGCCTGGTCAACAACAGGAAGCCCAGTAGCCTCGTGGTGCTGTCCACCCACACCCGCCCCATCCCGGGGCTGGGGGAGCTGCTGTCCATCCACACCCGCCCCATCCCGGGGCTGGGGGAGCTGCTGTCCCGCCTCGCCGCCCACCACACCGGCGACATCAGCCTGCTGCCCCTGGATTACTTCTGGAGGCCCGCAGGACAGTCGGATGGAGACATGGGAGCCATCATCAGCAAGTCAGGGTACATTGGCCGATGGTTTGACCATGGGTGAAATCGAGGAGTGGTGACATAGAGGAGAAATTTTACATTGGTTTTACAACACTTCTCTTTAACTTCACTTCTTGTTGTTTGTTTGTCTGTCTGTCTGTCTGTCTGTCTGTCTGCTACAAATCTTATAATCGATATTTAACACACTTCTACCGGTCCAACCTATTTGAAATTTGGCACACTTGCGTAAAATTAAAGACAATGCATGAATCAATTGACAGAATAAATTATTTTACAAATTAAAAAAAATATTTTTTCTACAACACTTCTCTTTAACTTCACTCCTTGTTGTTTGCTTGTTTGTCTGCTACAAATCTTACAATCAATATTTAATACACTTCTACCTCTCCAGTCGATCTGAAATTTTGTATACTTGCGTAAAGTTGGAGACAATGCATGAATCAATTGACAGAATAATAATAATAATTTTGCAAATTTAAAAAATTTTATTTTTGATATTAAAAAAGTGTAAATAAAATAAATTTGCTGCTACATCTCTTATAATCGATATTTAACACACTTCTACCTGTCTGATCGATCTGAAAATTTCCACACATACGTAAAGTCGGAGACAATGCATGTATCAATTGACAGAATAAATAATTTGGAATTTTTTTTTCTAATTTTAGAAGTAAAATTTAAATTTTCTTAATAATGATAATAAAATTAGAAATTCATTGTACATGTGTAACATCGAAGACACTGGATTCTTTAGAAGTGTTGTTTTAAAAAGGTAATTTTTAAACGCATATTATTATATTAAAAAATTAAAAATAATTTGTCAGCTACAAATCTTATTATCGATATCTGACACACTTCTACCTTTCCAATTGATTTGAAATTTTGCACACATGCGTAAAGTTAGAGACAATGCATAAATCAATTGACAGAATAAATAATTTAATAAATTAAAAGAAATTATTTCTCATTATTAAAAAATTTTTAAAATAATTTCGTCTGCTACAAATCTTATAATCCATATATGACACAATTTGACCTGTTCAACCGATCTGAAATTTTGCACAACTGCATAAAGTCAGGGACAATGCATGAATCAGTTGACAGAATAAATAATTTTGATAATTTACAAAATTTTGATATCCTAAAAATCTTTTTAAAAATAATTTTTTTTAATATTTGAAAATAAAATTAGAAATTCATAGTTCATGTGTAACATCCAAGACACTGAATTATTCAGAAGTGTTGTATTTAAAAAGTATGTTTTAAACGCATATCATTAAACTCCAACTTCGTATCAAGTCATTTCTTTTATTTAAGTGTATACACTATTGATATCTATGTTGATTTGTGCTTGATATACACATCTTATTTGCTCTGTGATGCAAGTCGCTGGCTCAACGCCGTGTATGGATCGCCTGATGAAGTCCTCGCTTACCTGAAGATCCGACGTCGAGAGCCCAGAAACTTCAGCGTTCGTCTTGCCAGCAAAGAGGACCTCGATAGCTGTGTTGACTTGAAGCCATCTTTCGGTTAGCGAATTTCTGTTGTATCAGGTTGTTTTTACCGTTGTAAGATTTTTATTTTTATATCCTTGAAGCTGTTAACCCTACAAAAACTTCGTTTTGCATCTGAATGATCAGGACCTAAAGCGGCCAGTTTTTCTTTCCCGTGAATACTTCGGAGCAGTAGATGAGTATAAAAATTACGTATATACCAATTCTCTCAAAGAATTATTCGCGTAAAATCAATACTTTTGCTTGAAAGAGGTCCCATTTCTCCAACAGTTAATGTCTGTTGCGTCAAAGGAGCCCCGAGCGACGTTGGCACGACCTTAAATGCCCTCGGCTGTGCGGTCACCCGCTGGCACTTCCCTGACCTGAGAGACGAGGACGTGGACTGGGCGTCGTCCATCCTGTCGCCCTTCAGCAAGATAATCAGGCCAGCTGACCAGTACAATGGGCCTGTCTTTTCTAAGTAAGTTAATTGCGATCCTTCTCGAGGCCAAGTTATAGCTTCTCTTTCTTAACATTTACCACATACGAACAAATACGCAAGCCAACTAGAATACGATGCACTCCTCAATCCTAAAATTTGAGTGCTAAAAAAACTCCCAGACAAGTCGTTAATTATACTAAAAAATATAACTCAGTACTCACTGCAGTGAGTGACAGCGCTTTTTCTCGTCGACGAAAACGTGAAGTCACGGACGGATAGACAGACGGACAGACAGACGGACGGACGGACAGACAAACAAGGCAAGCACAATAGTGCATTTTTTTCATAAATGAGAAAATGCGCTGAAAAGATTCATCATTTGATGAAGAACATCAAATCCCATCAAATATACTGACCGTTCTTAAAAATACATGATAAGCGGCGCATAAACTGGGCTGTAAGATTAATATTGCAAATCGCTCAAGTTCCAATTTTGTTACTTAGACGGATTTATTTAACGAAATTCGATAGAACCAGAAGGTTGGATAAACCAGTTATATATTACCAAATATTCGATAAAAGGAATGCTAGTGATTGAAAATCCCTTCCCTTATACATTTTCGGGGCAGAGTAAATAAGGCCGATTTTCCACCGCATTTATTTGTATTAATGAGATACAAATAAGGCAACTGGCTCATCTCGTCCAATTTGGACTTCTCTAAAAAGCTATTCATATGATATATGAGCTCAAGAAAGCTACAAATGACGTGGCTTTAAACTCAAACGACGATATAATTTAATGCTTGGTATATTTCACTCCAGGGTGGATCTGGTCCTGCCGAGGGACGGCCTTACAGATAAAGGCGCTCGCCAGCTACTGAGGAAGGTACCATATATTCGAATGCTGTTCCACGAACCTAACTCAGCTCACCTGACATCAGCTTGTGGGGATATTCAACCTGGTTCTCAACGTACCGAAATGTCATTCACCAATATTTACCAATGGATATGAAATGTTGCGTCAAAGTGAGCATCAGACTAAGAGAGCTTACCACCATACGAACCACTTTTTCCATGTGCTGCATTGTAACGAATTTATTAAAATTAGTAGTATCCCATTTAAAGGAATAGTGTTAACAGCGTAGAGTTAATCATTCATGTATCTTGAAACTTGTGAACGGGCATAACATAATTTGGAGTAGAGAACTCAAAAAGAGATAAATCAATTGCACTTCATTTGGTTTGATTTTTACTTAGAAGACCAGCGTTAGTCTTTCAAATGAAATGCTCCCTACAGCGCAAAGTTTTAGGGTACGTGAGTTACAAGTTAGTTTCAGTGTTACTACCTACTGCTATACTAATATCGTGGTAATATTTGCAGTGAAATTAGAATTGTCTACTGAAGGTTATAGATGAATTTGTATTAACATTTTATGTATTTCATTTGACATTTGTTCCCGTTTGATTTTTTGTTGATGTTGAGCTCGATAAGCTGATATATTCAATGTCTTAGTTTGACGAACATTTTAAATTTAGTTCGTATTAAAAATCGGAAAGTAGGCTTAGCGACTTGTCTATTACTTGAAATAATTACGAGTTACGGATTATGTGCGGATTTCCTTATAAGCAGCAATATAGCTTTTAATCGTAATCTTAAAGAAACGTTCCGTTGCATTTTGCCAATTTATGTTGATGTTTCACTTAAGTAAGAAGTTACCAATAATTTGCATGCGGGCTGGTTGTTCTCTAGGCCCAAAAAACTTTCCGCAGATGTCGTTTTAGGCTCAACCGCAGTTGATTAGATGCAGGTTGTAATTCCGGAGGGGTGAAATGGGAGCGAGTGAACAAATATTGGACCAGGAGGGGTAATATAAGAGCAAGTGAACAAATATTGTTTTTAAATTCTAAATTTAGATTTTAATTCTATATTTATCATATACTTTGAAAATGATCAAGTTATCGGACTGTATCGACCTTGAATATGCGAACCACCATTCCAAGAATTCCATCCTGCTTAAACATTAAGTAATGATATTAATCGACTGAACAATTAATTGCGATCTGTTGAATTGTTTGCCTGCAGCCACATCAGAGCCTGATGAGATTTAAGATCAATTATCAGGCGAGCTTTTGTCCTGGGAAGAGTTTTGGCTCTTTATGTTCAGATTTCTCCGTTTTGTTCTTTGCTTTCTTCGTAGTTTTATATGACCGCTTACTGCAGCACCATGCGACCCCCCAGGTCATCCTCCTGCAGTCTCATGGCCACGACTCACGCCACGTACGTGTTAGAATAATAACATTGATTAATTGTTGAAAATTTTTGTCTAGAAGCCTTACACTATACCTCGCTCGCAATCAACGTCTCTCGAATAGGAACAATAAACTTTTTATTGTTGAATTTCAGTGAAGAAACAGGCCTATTAAATGAACACAATTATTATTTAAATTAATTCATTATTCGAATTTAATTTTATCTGTCCTATGAGAAGCTCGCCACAAGCAGGTCAGCGTGTCTTGTGCACTTTTCTTTACCCATAGGAAATGAATAAAAATTTGTACCTGTAATCGAGTAAAGGTTATTGAATACTCGTCGCAGCCTCTTAATACAGATTGTACGCAAATTTTGAAAATTTGAGTCATAGGCGAATATTTATATATACACGAAAGTTACGAAGAGCCATTACTAGTTTCATACTGGTTCCGTCTAATCAAAATCGTAGTCCTTGTCGTGACATCCGTAATAAATTCGTTTAAATGCGCTCCTACTGAATTGTTGCCATTGAACCGTTGCCAATGAGCCCGATGCCACTGTTACTCTGCCCCTGAACCCGTTGCCACTGAACCCATGGCCACTGTACCTTTGTAACTGAGCCCGTTGCCACTGAACCCGTTGCCACTATACCCTTGTAAATGAGCCCGTTGCCACTGACCCCATGGCCACTGTACCTTTGTAACTGAGCCTGTTGCCACTGAACCCATGGCCACTGACCCTATGGCCACTGTACCACTGCCGCTGAACAAGCTATGGCAAGCAAAGATGTCGATGAGAAAATTCGTCGTGATATAAAATTTTACATATCTTGAATGTTCATACAGATTCCGTATAATGAAGAATTCAAAACCATTGATTAGTAAGCGTACGAGGAAAAGAAATGTGCATAATTATTGATGGAAGAAATTGTTGTTCTCGTCAGCTGAATGAACGTAATTAACGAGAAGTTATAATGAAGATTTACTACTTATAGAAGTGCGGCGGTCATAACTGCAGATAAGGGAAATGACATATACAAGGAGAGGAACATTCTGACTTGTTTGCCTTCAGCCTGTACGAATTGAAGCCGTAGAAAGCGTATACGCAGTCGGAGGAGTGAGAGCCCTTGAATGCGTGGATCGCTACGGTGGAGCAATGAGAGACGAGTTGACGCTTGAAAGATGCATTCAAATAGTACATATACGATAGCTCTGGTTCTTGCAATAACAGGTTATTGCTTGTTTCTTTATTGTGTTCTGCGATATGAGTGGAAAAGACTATGGTTTTTAGATTTTTTCCTGCAACTCCTCAAAATATTTTCTGCACCTGGAACATTTTCTGTAATTTTACAACGAGAATGTGGAATTTTTTATATATATCTTAATATAACTTTTACCTCGTATGAGTTAATTTTTCTACCCAGAACGCAGCTGCCATCCGTAGATGGTTGTCTAATTACAGCTTAGCTTATCACTTTGTCGACCACGTAGCAATTATGTGTTGCCGTGGTGAGTTGTGAAAGTGGTTATTCACCGCTATGAAAATGAATCAAATTGATTGTGAAGTGAAATTGAAAATTTTCCCCTTCTTCCTACTTGTCATAAATCGACCAACGACGTGTTAGAAAATATGTTCAGTTGAGCTACGGCATCGCAAATTAATCGTGCGACCCAAGAATCAAAACTATAATTAGTTTATGTCGCGCTGTCAGCCGACAACGCTAAGGCTGCTCATTCAGTTGCTCCTCGATAATGCCATGGAATGTTTCAAAGTACAGGGAAATTATTCTGTTTTCAAACTGATAAACTGTGCTGGGGAATTTTCACCGTGGTTCGGTTTCATCCGCTCGAATATTAAAACTTTATTATCAATTCATCTAATTCGAAAAGTGTCTATTTTAAAAAGCAGCCGTGTATTGATTTTCGAGTTTACATTAACGAAATGTCTGGTGTGTCATTGCCCGACATCCTTTGCAGCAGCGTCTCACTCATGACCAGGGATCGCTATGGAGGAATATCAAAGGATACACAAACTCAGGTTCTGCTTAATGTTTAAATTGAATGCTATGAAAAAGGTATAAAGTAATTGCATGAACCTGCATGCAAATTGTTCAGAAAAAATTTACTAATTATCTACCGAAACTAATGCTGTGAAAATACAAATGCTCATTAATGAAGGCATCTACGCCGTTAAAGCTATTCACTCTCTAAGGATATTTATTATTTAGGAACCTCACATTATTTAAAATCTAAATGTAAAATGATAATTTTAAGCTGTGGTTGATTATGTCTTCTAGCCTGACCCTAACTTCCGATTGAGATATTATATCCATTGAAGAATGTTGGTGGTTGACAACTCGATGCAGTCCGCAGCAGCGTGAACATCCCTACAAGCTGCCGTGAGGTGCGCGGCGCTAGGCTCGTGGTACAACACCCGAATATTTGGTATCTTCTGAAACAGCTGACGAGCGCCTACGGCAGAGAGATGATCCCTTGGCAGGACAAGCTCCACGCTGGAATGGTATATAACAAATAACAGAACTATATTTATTTCGAATTATCAGGAAAATTCATTCGTAATTTTGTTTTGCACAATATTATGTACGAATGAATACTCAAAAATGGAGTTTAAGTAATATTGGATAAAATGGACCAGTCGCCTACTTTACGTATTAGATTAAGGTGTTAAAAATATAAGAAATGGTAACATATTTGCATATTTTGTCACCTTGTGACTAGTGCTATTTCGTTGCAACGTAAATAAAAGAAACCGGCTAGTATGAATCAGGATACTTAACTTAAGCTTAGGTTTGTAAACGTCAAAGGGTGAATTTCATATTTCAAGAATACCAAAAATGCGGTTGGTACGTGACAAAAATGTGATTTCCCAGCATGAGTATTCGCTGAACTTTTCCTGGCTGCAGCTTCGCCCGATAACGTCGTAATTAAAGGGACTGTCAAATACTAGCAAGCATTCTACCATCTGGGTGATACGGGCAGCTCTGGATTAGGCGAATTGAACTTTATATTGAGTTCTTATGCATTCAATTCTATCGAGTCTTGATGAAATCAATTTTGCATTGAGTCGTGTACTTCAGAGCACCTTAGGAGCATCGATACGTGTATTTCAGCGCAAGTTAGTATAGGCATTACAATAACAAAATATTACAACACATTTTAGTTTGCTTGCATTTTTTGGTGTTCGACAGAAACAAAGCACATATTTAAAAGACAGTCAGGAACTCTTGAGTATCTTGAGTAACCTCAGAGTGAGCCAAAATGTTTTACTTGTTTCCCTGGATGTGGTGTCGATGTACACCAATATTCCACTGGATGAGGCAATTGATGCAAGTGTGGCCGCATATGATGCAACAGACTGCTCATACGCAATAAACAAGATTAACACGATGGACTTTAGAGA